GTGCAGAGATGAACGGATGAATTTGATATTATGGGATGAATATGTTGTTGGGGTTAGATTTCACCTAGTTTACTCTCATGTATATACGAATTCTACTTCTTCATTAATTTCAATGTCACTATCTAAAGTACTTAAAACCCGATTCCTCGGCGAAGAAAGCCTATCCTTAATTACTAGGTCATAATTCCTTGCATCCCTAACAATTAACTATGCATTATGATTAGTAGCTTAAGACAACCAGAACTCATACCCTCATTCCTGAGCAATACTGCTTCTGGGAATAATTCTCCAGAACCTGAATTGTAAGATACCTTTCGGTACTCATGCAAATCATACATCATGCTAATGAATGAGTTAAACAAAGCAAGCATTGAGTGAAGGAGAATTACCCTAACAATTAATGAAGGAAGCATAAAATAATTAAGAATCAATTCAATACATGAGAGTTTACAAAGGTTTACATCATTCCCCAACAACAAATTGAATTTAGTTCACCATTGACATGGTGAAACTAGATGAATATTGGAAAAAGAATGAAAGATAAAACCCTAGAAGTTGAAGATAAGAGCTTCCGCATCCAAATCCTCCTCTGAGGGGTCAAAGGGTGTGTTTTTGCACCTCTTATGTCCAAAGATACCTTCCCTAGGTCGTCCAAATCATTAAATAGTTCAAAATAATAACAGAAAACACAACCCAAGCCCAATCACCAACGCTCAGCGCCCCACTTAGGGTGCTCGGGCCGCGTGCCGAATCATATGACGCTCAGGGTCAGCTCAAAAGGCAAGTAGGCGTGGTGTAACTCGAAGAAATTGCGCTCAGCGCCCCAAAAAGGGCGCCTAGGTGCGAGCCAAAGACTTCCTGCGCTGAGGGCTTCAGAAAAAGGGCAGTCAAGTGTGAGACAGTGTACTCCGGCGCAGGGCCCTTGAAATGGCGCTCAGCATTGCTGCGATCCTCCTTTCTCATGCTTTTCCAGCTTTTCCTGAGTTCCAATTCCTTACTACTTCAACTCTTCTTCCAAATAATCTCAATTCTTGTTGAAAACAAGGAAATCTAGCATAAAATCATTAAATTCACCTTCAACTCTCTTATTCACACAAAAATATGATTTCAAGGTAGTTTCTAAATCAAAAAGGGTGTTTTTAGTATCAAAATTAAGTATCAAATAATGGTAAATTCAACCGTTATCACAACCTGATGAGTGCATATTTATGCCCACATTTATGCTTTAAAATTCTAATTTTTTATGGGATAATTGTGCTTGAATGATTGATTTAAAGAGGATTTGTGATGATTTGATATATTGTGTTTGGAATTAAAAGGGACTTAAAAAGTGATTTTAATTGTATAAATTATTCTTGGAAATTCTTACGTTTATTTGTGCAGCTGAAATTATAAGTTCTATTGGTTCAAATGGCAATTCAAGGCCCAAAATCAGGTTTTATTTGGAAAATAATGTACATATTGGCCAAATAGGCAGACTTTACCCTTGCACTCCTTAAAATTCCTACATACACTCCTATTTCTGAAACAGGCCAAAGACCAAGCCCAAACACTAAGCCATTTCTACTACACCTCCCTAAGTTTTCTATACACACCCCTCCTAAGCTAGACTCCACCAGATCATGCCACGCGTCCAAATCCTCCCTACACAGCTTTAGCCAACCATGTGTCACCACGTCAGCCCTAACCCATGAGCATCATCTTCCACCTTCTCCACAGAAACCCTAGCCGCCAATGCCGTAAGCCGCCGTTCCGCTTCCGCCGTACCATCGTCAACTGCCGCCGTGCCGCTCCGCCGCCAACCTCAGCGTCGTCGAGCCGTCACACACAACCGCCGTCGGTAACCATCTTGCGGTAACCAAGCGCCGCCAGCAGCACCACCACGAGAGTACTCTCTCCTTCACGCAAGAGTTCGAAGCCGCCGCGCCGTTGCCGCGACCACCACTCCCGCCACCACAGCGCCTCTCCTCCTCTGAAATCATCACCATCACGCCGCTGCCATGACCGGACAATCTTCAGGCCACCAAAGCGCGACATCCATGGCCGCCGCGACGCCACGCTTCTCGCGCACCATTGACGCAACCATCAACAGCTGCCGTCACTGCCGTGCCACCATCTCCACAGCACCGCCTCGGTCTCGCCATCACCACCACGGTTTCGCATCTCGACCATCTTCATCTTCTCCATTCTCGGAACCCAATCGCGCCTCCATCAACGTTCAACACCTCTATCTCCATTCCGCCGTGAAGTCGTCGCGCAATCCCCCTCCTTCATCGCGAGTTCTTCATCAGGCCGCCACGATCTTCATCTTCCTCGCCATCAACCGCGAAACCGCTCCTCCCCACCATCGACATGCACCTGCAAACAACAAACTCAGAAAAACCACAGCGGCAGAAGCGAAAACGCAGGAAGAGGCACAGGAGCTCCCTTTCCCCCAATCTGAAACCCTAATTTTGGGTGGGAAAGGGGCTGACATGTGTCAGTCTCCCATTGACTGCGAAAAATTGGTCAAACAGAATTGATTTTGGTCAACTAAGGGGTTCAGTTCCAATTTTGGGAAATTCAGAAGGGGCTAAAGTGCAGATAGAGACAATTTCAGGGCATTTGTTTAATTTTGGAAAGTCAGAAAAAGCTAAAAGATAAAATTCATTTGTTAAATTAATTTAATTTGTGAATATCAACAGAAAATATCTTCCAAATAATATTATAATTATCTAAATCTTTTAGTTATTTGGAAGATATGAGATAAAAGATTCTATCAACTGAATATTCAGAGTCCAAGCCCAATCAAGCCTATTTAAAGAGACCCAGAGGACTTCACTTCACTTAATTCATTCTCTCATACTCCTCTCACTTTTCTTTCATCTTGTATTCAACTCCATTCATGGAGAGCTAAGCATCTAGGACTATTCTGCTGTAATTCCATTATGGATTCTGAGGTTAGATTGATGTAATATGATTGTTTATTTTGATTATTGATTTAAGTTGTTCTTTCTCTATGTCTTTCATCTCTCTATCTTGTTAAAAGTAAAGATTTTTGCATCATAATGTTTGAATCTACATGCATAATGATTATATGAGTTCTAGGGTTTCTAGGTTTAATTGATAATTTACTTTGATTTAATTTAGGAACTTTCATATGATTAAATGGTTTTTACTATCAATTGAGAATGTACTTTGGTTGATTAGTAATAATTTCAACTATAATCAATTGAGAATTTACTTCGATTGATTAACTTTTAATTTGGTTAGGAGATTTAAGAATAGACATGATTAAACACAATAAAATTTGATTGAGAATGTACTTTGGTTGAATTTATTGTGAATAATCTAGAAAGGTTTTGCATTTGATTGAGAATTTACATTGGTTAAATGCATGATCGCCCTCAAATTAATTAAGAATGTACTTTAATTAATTTGAAACTTGAATAATAATCAATTGAACAATTATCTGTGAATAACCGATGATGAATCTATCTTGGAAAAGTAGTGGAATTAGCCTATTTCATCGTAACTGTTTTTAAATTTCTTATTTGTTCTTTAAACCTTCATCAAACATCATTTTTATTCTTGAACATTGCATTACATTCATAAGATTCAAATATTAAAAAGCAATTTCGTATTCGTTGGGAGACGACTCAGGGTTACTTTAACTCTATCTACGTACTTGAATACTACTTGGCAATACTAAAGTTGCCTAGAAAAGTAGTATTAATTTGATAGCTTCAACGACAGCCTATCACAACCCCAAACTTAGAAATTTGCTTGTTCTCAAGCAAACAAAATGTAACTTAGCTTTCAAACAATCAATACAATGGTTTCAACGCATTTCAAAACATTTTCTTTCAAGACAAGTAATCGCTAATATCAGCTTATTATAAAGAATATCAGTCAAGATGAATAAATGCCTTGATTCAATTAACTCATTGTGGTGCTCACCTAACTTAATGAAAAAACATGAGTCCAAGCAAGTTTCTAAGCCAAAAAGGGTTATTTAGTATCAAAATTACATCACAGATAACTGTATTTTAAACCATTATCACAACCTCAAATTTAGAACTTTGCTTATCCTCAAGCAACACAAAATGTAACTTAGCTCTCAACAAATATTGCAGTGGTTCAGCAGTTTTTCAAAATCTTTTTCTAAGACAAGTAATTACTCAAATCATCTCATCATAGGAATATGAGTCAAGATGCACAGATGCTTTCTCCCAAATAACTTAAAGTGGTACTCAAACAGTTCAACAGATGTTATCCTTAAGAGCAATCAATCAACCAAGCAGAGATGTAATCAGAAATTCAAAGAATTATTCCTCACCAAAGAAAGTGTTTCACTTAACCACTCAAAAGTATATTACTCAAGCACTCAAAAGTGTATCACTGAACTCACAGGTGTATAGTGAGATCTCTCAATCACTCTGCTATCACAATATCACATAAATTAATTTTTGCCTTTCATTTAACCACAATCAAACATACTCACAAGCAGGTTTTCATCACAAGGGCTTTTCTTGGCTTGTAACTTGGTAGGGCTAAGAAGAAACATGGTTTTTCAGGAATGCAAAATCCTTGAGTTAAGAGATATATTTATGAATTTAACAATTACACACAGGTTCTCTTTTCAAGAAGATCTTTCCCAACCTTTTTTCCCTTGCAGTGAGCTCTATTTTCTTTTCTTTTTATTTTTCCTTTTTCCTTTCATTTTCTTTCCTTTTGATTTTTTTTTTTCTGTTGATTTTCAATTGCTCACTGCTTAGAAAAGTGGGGTTGCATACCAGCAACCCCAAACTTGAACCTTTTTCAATACCTCACAAATATTCTCAACTCAACTTAAGGTAAAGAATTTAAAACAGTGTTTTTAAAACTTGCTTAAGGTTAAAGGTTCAAAGGATGGAACAAATTGTTCTCTTTTTATTTGGAAAAATTCATGAGTAGGCTAAAAAATAAGGAAAAACAAAAGATGGCTTTGATCATATGAAACCTGCAAACAAGTAGTTCAATCACAGAAAATTTGGACTTACACCTTTGAGATTTGAGATTGACCATCCAATTGCTCCTTTGTTGACTTTGAGTATTTCTACCAACTTTTCTTCTTCTTTGGGAGACAGAGAGTTGCTAATGATGACTGGTTTGTTTCCACTTTCTTCTAGAAACACATATTTCAGGTGTGGTGGTAACATCTTCAACTCCTTTTTGCTTTCCTTGGCTTTTTCATCTGTATTTTGCAAAGGATCCTTTTTTAATTCTTTCAAATCAGTCAAGCACTCATTAGTTAATTCCTCTTCTGTTTCATTCAGCTCTTCAAAAGTGTCAACTAATATTTCCTCCAAAGAAAGAGTATCACTTGCGTTGTTTTCATGGTTCATGCAAATTTCATCAAGTGCGACATGGCTTTAAAGACATCAAAATTTACTTCTTCATTTTGCACTTTAACCTTTAATTTTCCATTTTCCACATCAATCAAAACTCTTGCTGTGTTCATAAAAGGTCTCCCAAGAATAAGAGGTACATTCACATCCTCCTCCATGTCCATGATGACAAAGTCCATAGGAAGAAGAAATTTATCTACTTTCACAAGCACATCTTCAGCCACCCCATAAGGATATTTCAGAGATCTGTCTGCAAGTGGAAGAGTCATCCGAGTAGGCTTGAGTTCTAACCCCTTAATCTTTTTGTATAGCGGCATGGATAGCGGCACGAGATTAATACTGGCTCCTAGATCAATAAGTGCTTTTCCAACAGAGATATTCCCTATAGTGCAGGGAATGGTGAAACTTCCTGGATCTTTATACTTGGGGGGAAGGAGCTTTTGTATGATAGCACTACAGTTTCCTTGAACTTCAATAGTTTCTTCTACAATGTACTTCCTTTTCTTTGTGAGGAGCTCCTTCAAAAATTTAGCATATGAAGGCATTTGTTGCAGAGCTTCAGAGAAGGGTATATTCATCTCCAATTTCTTGAAGATTTCCATGGAACGCTCAAACTGTTTTTCTTTTTCCTTCCTGGAATAATTCTTTGGATAAGGAAGGGGCTTTTCATAAGATTATTTTTTCTTTCTCTCATCTTTTTCTTTTTTTTCTCTCTCTTCTTTTTCTTTTTTCTCTCTCTTCTTTTTCTTTTTTTTCTCTCTCTTTTTTTCTCTCTCTTCTTTTTCTCTTTTTTCTATCTCTTTTTCTTCACTCAGCCTTTATTCTAAAATTTTGCCACTTCTAGTAGCAATAGCGTTGCTTTCTTCTCAGGAGTTGGCTTTCAGGTTATTCCCCATATCATCCAACTTTTGAATCATGTGACAGAGCAGCTTCTCTATCCTCTTGAATGCTACTTGATTGCTTTTATGATGAGAATCAGACACCTGTAGTAACTGTTGAATGGTGTCATTCATCTTAGCCCATCTTTCTGATAGAGAAGGTAGTTGCTGCCATTATTGTTGACCGATAGCTTGTCTGAATTCCATCCTACAAGCTAAAAATTCTAAAAATATTGTTAGCAAAAATAAAAAATAAAATTAAAGATAACAAACTAAAATAAAACAAAATCAAATCAAATCAAATCAAATAAAGTAAAATAGAATAAAGCCAAAAGTAATTAAGAATCACACAAATAGAATAGTTTAAACCGTGAGTCCCCGACAACGGCGCCAAAAACTTGTTGATGGATTGGCTTGTGTACCAAATCGCACAAGTAATATAAAATGGTAAGACTAAGTATCGTATCCTAGAGGACTCTCTGCACTAAACAGTCGTGTGATAAATTAATTAATTAAGACTTAAATTAAATTAGATCATTGGTTTGAGATGCAAAAACATAAAATAAAATATGAATGCAAATTGATCAATAGTAGAGTAACACAGAGATGAACGAATGTTTTTTAATATGAGATGAATATGTTGTTGGGGTTAGATTTCACCAAATTCCCTCTCATGTATATAAGAATTCCTCTTTATGCATTAATGTTAACGTCACTCATTAAAGTACTTAGAACCCAATCCCTAGGCGCAATAAGCCTGCCTTAATTCCTAGTTCGTGCAATTCTTAGCGTTCCTAAAAAATTAAGTCTGAAGATCAAGAGCTTAAGACGACCAAGTACTCATACCCTCATCGCTGAGAAATATTACCCTTGGGAGAATTCAACAAGAACCTGAAAAGTAAGGAACCTCCCGGCACTCATGCAATTCATAAATCATGCAACTAAATGAGTTAAATAGAGCAAGCATTAAAACAAATGAATTCCCTAACAATTAATGAATAAAGCAAATATGATTAGGAATCAATTCAAATACATGAGAGTTCACAAGGTTACATGATTCCCCAACAACAAATGGAGTTTAGTTTCTCATAGACATGGATAAACTAGATGTACAATGGAAAAGCATGAGATAGTAAAACCCTAAGAGTAGAAGAGGAAACAGAGTAGAAATAGGGCTCAGTCCTAAAGAGTCGAAACAGAGCAAAAATTGGGTCGGATTAGAACGCCCGGGCAGTGGACGTCGATTTCCGGAAGGCTTGAGCCTCCAACTTCGCCCAAGCTTCGGGGATCCGACACTGGTGGCGAGCGTCGTTTTTTCCACGCTCAAGCCTCCTACAGGTCGCCCAAGCTTCATGCGGTTCCCTCTTCTGGTGCTTTTCTAGGCTTTTCTGAGCTCTATATCCTTAGCACTTCATCTCTGCTTCCTGTATTAACTCTTTTTCTATCAAAACAAAGGGAATTAGTCATAAAATCATCAAATTCAACCTCAACTCTCTTATTCACAAGATTAATGAAAAAGCATGAGTCCAAGCAAGTTTCTAAGCAAAAAAGGGTGTATTTAGTATCAAAATTACATCACAGATAACGGTATTTTAAACCGTTATCAGGCACAAGCAAGCAAGTGATTCAATCATAGAAACCTGGGCAAAATCATTAATGTTTTCACAGTAATAGCAATCATTCAAAAAAACTCTGGAGTTCAATCCTCACACAGGCTAATTCAAGTGAACGCCTTTCCCAACAAGCACTTCTTTAACGTCATTAGCTTGACCCAATAAGCTCAACGATCAACCAACTCCATGACTGTGGAAAGGCGTTCAACCTCACCACCCAAATAATGCTTAAGACGTTGCCCATTCACCACCCAACTTTTTTGTGGATCTTCAACAGCCGGATTTGTCAACTCAATTGCTCCATGTGGATGAACATTCTTAACTATAAATGAACCAAACCACTTAAACTTCAACTTCCCAGGAAAAAGCTTTAAGCGTGAATTGAACAATAACACCCGCTCTCCTGGATGGAAAACCTTCTTTACCAGCTTCCTGTCATGATAAAATTTTACCTTTTCTTTGTAATTCCTAGACGAATCATAGGCATGCAACTGCATCTCTTCAAGCTCAAGAATTTGCCTTCTTCTCCTATCATTAGTATCAAATGGATCAAAATTTAAGAACTTCAAAGCCCACAAAGCTCGATGTTCCATCTCCACTGGTAGATGGCATGTTTTTCCATAAACTAACTGAAAAGGAGATAGCCCTATAGTTGTCCTCATTGTCGTCCTTTATGCCCAAAGAGCATAATCTAGCTTTTGAGACCAATCCTTCCTTGATGAAGCAACTGTTTTTTCCAGAATCCTCTTTATTTCCCTGTTAGACACCTCTGCTTGTCCATTTGTCTGTGCATGATAAGGTGTAGCCACCTTATGTTTCACGCCATAGTGCTTGAGTACTTTTGCAAGCTGAGAGTTGCAAAAATGAGATCCTCCATCACTAATGAGAATCTTGGGAGTTCCAAACCTGGAAAAACATTGACTTATCAAAAATTTAATAACAGTGCTAGCATCATTCTTGGGACACGCCATGGCTTCTACCCATTTACTCACATAATCTACTACTACCTATATATATTCATTATTGAAAGATGGTGGAAAAGGTCCAACAAAATCTATGCCCCAACAATCAAAAACTTCAACCTCTAAAATGTCTTGTAAAGGCATCTCATGACGTCTTGAGATGGTTCCCGTCCTTTGACATTTATCACAATTTCAGGCATGATTATGAGCATCTTTAAACAGGGTAGACCAATAAAATCCTCACTGGAGAATTTTTGCAGTTGTTCTTTCTCCATTAAAATGACCCCCATAAGGTGAATCATGACAATGCAAGAGAATTCTTTCCGCTTCTTCATTTGTCACACAACGCCTTAGCAGATTATCTGCTCCAATTTTAAATAAGAAAGGATCATCCCAGATAAACTATTTTGCATCATGCAGAAACTTTTTCCTCTGTTGCCAATTAAAATCTTCTCGGATTACTCTTGCAGCTTTAAAATTAGCCATATAAGCAAACCATGGCCTTTGTTGAATATACAGAAGTGTTTCATCTGGGAAAGACTCCCAGATTTCTTTTTCCTTACTTGTAACCTCACCATTAACTAACCAAGATAAATGATCAGCAATCAAATTTTCACTCCCCTTCTTGTCACGGATTTCCACATCAAATGCTTGTAGCAAGAGCACCCATCTAATCAAACATGGTTTAGAGTACAGCTTTGTTAGAAAATACTTTATAGTCGCATGATCCGTGTAGATGATCACTTTAGACCCGATAAGGTAAGATCTAAATTTCTCCAGGGCATAAACTATAACCAGAAATTCCTTCTCAATAGTTGCATAATTCAACTAGGCTTCATTCAAAACTTTGCTAGCATAATAAATAGTGTGAAACACCTTCTCTCTTCTCTGTCCAATTATAGCACCTATAGTGATAGGCTGTCATTGAAGCTATCAAATAATAATACTTTTCAAGGCAACTTCAGTATTGCCAAGCAGTATTCAAGAAAGTAGACAGGGTTGAAGTAACCTTGAGTCGTCTCCCAACGAACACGGAATTGCTTTTGAATATCTTTGCAGACTCTACGAATGCTATGTCAATCTATGTATAAAATAATGGTTGAAAAAGTGTTTAAAGAATAAAAACTTAAAAACAGTTACGATGAAATAGGCTAATTCCACTGTCTTTTCCAGATAGGTTCATCATCGTTTATCATGGTATTTGTTCAATTGATTATTGTTTAAGTTTCAAATTAATTAAAGTACATTCTTAATTAATTTGAGGGCGAATCATGCATTTAACCAAAGTAAATTCTCAATCAAATGCAAAAACCTTTCCAAATTATTCACAATAAATTCACCAAAGTACATCTCAATCAAATTCTATTGTGTTTAATCATGTCTATTCTTAAATCTCCTAACCAAATTAAAAGCCAATCAATCAAAGTAATCTCAATTGATTTAGTTGAATTATTATCTAATCAATCAAAGTACATTCTCAATTGATAGTAAAAACCATTTAATCATATGAAGTTCCTAAATTAAATCAAAGTAGATTCTCAATTTAAACCTAGAAACCCTAAAACTCATATAATCAATATGCATGTAGATTCAAACATATTATGATGCAAAAATCTTTGCTTTTAACAAGATAGAGAGATGAAAGACAAGAGAGAACAACTTAAATCAATAATCAAGTAAACAATTGCATTAGCTGAACGTAACCTCAGAATCCTGCAGGGAATTACACAGAATAAGCCCCTAGATGCTTAGCTCTCCATGAATGAGTTGAATACAAGATGAAAGAAAAGTGAGGGAGTATGAGAGAATGAATGCATTAATTCAAGTCCCCTGGGTCTCTTAATATAGGGCTTGCTTGGGCTTGGACTCTGAATATTCAGTTGAAAGAATATTTTATCTCATATCTTCCAAATAACTAAAAGATTTAGATAATTATAACATGAGCTATTTTGTTGCTAGCTGTTCCAATAACGAATCATTGGTTTAACTGAATAACTAAAAAAAATAGATAGACCTTTCTTTCTCTTCGTCTCAGGTCGATGGATCTTCTCACTTGAAAGATCCCCTATATCGATATAACAATTCCAGTTGACCGAGCCTAATTCGAATTGTTTTGTTCCGAGCAAAGAGATCCACGGGCGGTTTGTCC